CACACACACACACACACACACATAACCCACACCCCCCCCCCCCCCGCCTCCCCCAGGCATATTTAGAGTGCCCTGTAGTTAAGAAGTGAATGCAGGCTAGAAGCTGGATATTCCAAAGCCAGCCCCCTTTTCTTCTGTTTAATTCTCATAGAGCTTATGAGACCCAATTAGAAATTACCTTGAGTTAGCAAGCATCCTCTTTTAAAGGAATCACTGTTTCTCAAAGGGTTAAGAAGCCTCATTGTCCTCAGATACTACATATTGGTGCTGTCCTGAGCACTTGGATACATTCTCCCAGAAACCCGATGAAGTATTACTGTTATCAGTCCTATTTGAGAACAAGGAAATTGAGGCTCAAAATGTTAAGAAACTTAATAGCACAAGGCAAGTAAGTGGTGGACCAGGATTTGAACTGGGCAGTGTGGCTGTGTAACCACTATGCTATATTGCTACTCAGAATTATTAAAAATATTTCCTGAATGATCTCTATTATTTTTGGACATTTAGGTTGTTCCTTAACATTTCAATAATAAAAAAAATTCACCCCACCATACATTTCAGGTTAGGAATTGCCTATGTAAAATGAGAATAGGGAGAAAAGTTTAATTTCTGAAATAAGTCATGTGTTGTGCATAATTTTAGACAATAAAATGAGGAAAATATTTTTATTTTAAAATTAGGTACTGGAAAGAACTAATTAATAGCCACATCTGTGAATTTAGCAACCATGCTTTAACATTTAGACTCTAAATTTTAGAAACTCCCTCTTCCCATAATCATTTGACTTTAGATTAGAAAAGAAAAGCATAAGGTGATAAGCAAGCCTAGACTAACTGATAGAACTTTATATTCCCAAGAAGTTCGGAGTTTTAGTTTTTTAGCTAACTAAAGTATTTAGTTGAGTGGAACAGTTAAAAATTATGAGATGTGGATTTCATTCTTTGCCATGTCAGTCAGTCTTCAGACTCTGACCTCACTTCTGGAAAATATGGGAATTGAGCTGAACTCTAAGGCTCTGAATTTCTAAGGCTAGGACTCCTGTCCATTAGAGCAAGTGTGGCTTGAACATTTTGATACTCACTATCGCCACCTACTGATAGAAGGAGAGATTAACTTTGCTCAACATTGACAGGGTACTCCAGCTGCTTGTTCTGCTGCTAGAAACTTGTTCAAACAAAAACATGAATTCAAACTTTTCTGTTTAGACCTTTAATTGTTCAGAATCCTCACATATGAACCTTTCTTAAGTCTACATGCTTTGTTTAAAAAATGCATAGAGTTTTGGAAAGGGAGAAAGGGAGACTGATATTCAGGTTTCTGTAAACTTAGGCCAGTGTTCTTCCCACAGCCCTGTATGACTCATTCATTCATTATTTTTAAAATATTTAAATATATATGTATATTTAAATATATTTTCATGATTTTTTAAATATATTTTATTGATTCTTTACAGAGAGGAAGGGAGAGGGATAGAGAGTTAGAAACATCGACCAGCTGCCTCCCGCACATTCCCTTCACTGGGTATGTGCCCGCAACCAAGGTACATGCCCGTGCCCGGAATCAAGCCCGGGTCCCTTCAGTCCGCAAGCAGATGCTCTATCCACTGAGCCAAACAGGTTAGGGCTAAAATCTATATTTTATTTACAGTGGGGCCTTGACTTATGAGTGTCCCGACTAATGAGTTTTTCCAGATACGAGCCGTCTCTCAGCCGATTTTTGGCTTTGAGTTGCGAGCTAAAATTCGGGTTACAAGCCAGCTTCAGATATCCCACTGCTAGTTGGCGCAGCGAATGTCACAGTGAACGCCACAACATCAGCCCAGCATCATGTGTCTCACTCGTTCACTTTAAGATTTGACATACGAGTAATTTGAGTTACGAGCTCTGTCACGGAACGAATTAAACTCGTAAGTCAAGGCCCCACTGTATTTATTTTGGATTGGAAAATACATTCACATGGCTTAAAAACTCAAAAGTTACAAAAGGGCTTACAGTGAAAATCTTTTCCTAACTATACAAACATTCTCTTCCTTAGGTATCCAGTTCCCCATCTTTGCAGGTAAACAATGCAATATGAATTATGTAAAATGTATTTTATTCATATACAAAAAATACATATGTAAACTTTCCCTTCTCTTTTTATATGGAGAAATATCTACTCATATCCTCTGCTTACTTTTAATTATTTGTCTTTTTAGTGTTGAGTTGTAAAAGTTCTCTATATATTCTGCACATTAAACCTTTTCCAGATAAATAATTTGCAATTATTTTCTTCTATTTTGTGGGTTGTCTTTTTACCTTTTTGATGGTGGCCTTTTATATAAAAAAGTTTTAAATTTTGATGTATTTCCATTTATTTACTTTTCGTTGGTTGTACTTTTGTTGTTATATCTAAAAAAAAAAACAGTCTAATTCAATGTACAAAGGCTTCTATGTTTTCTTCTAAAAATATTGTGGTTTCAGCTTACATTTATATCTTTGATCCATTTTTAGTTAGTTCTTGTATATTTTTTGAAGTATGTGGGTACATATGGATGTCCAATTGTTCCAGCACCATTTGTTGAAAAGACTATTTTTTCCCCATTGAGCGGTCTTTGTACCTTTGTCAAAAATCAGTTGACCATAGGTATATGGGTTTGATCTAATGTTTATCCTTATATCAGTACCAAGCTGTCTTGATTACTATAGCTTTGTGGTAGGTTTCTGAATCAGGAAGTGTGAGTTCTTCAATTTTGTCCCTTTTCAAGATTGTTTTGGCTATTCTGGGCCCCTTGTGTATTAATTTTAGGATCAAACTTGTCCATTTCTGAATTTTGATAGGGATTGCATTGATCTGTAAATTCAATGAGGTGGAGGAGTACCTTAACAATATAGGCCTTCCAATCTATGAATATGAGATGTCTTTCTATTTAGGTCTTCTTTAATTTCTTTCAACAGTGTTTCGTAGTTTTCAGCCTACAGATCTTGAACTTTTCTTTTTTTTTACACTTATTTCTAAGTTTTTCTCTTTTTTTTATCTGTTGTGAATGGAATTGTTTTCTTAATTTTATTGTCAATTGTTCATTGCTAGTATATAGAAATGCAAGTGATAGTTATGTTTTAATGTATATCCTGCAACCTTGTGGAACTTATTAGTTCTAAGTGTGTGTGTGTGTGTGTGTGTACAGCTCTTTATGATTTTCTCTACAAGATCCTGTCATCTACAAATAGAAATAGTTTTACTTCTTCCTTACCAATCTGGATACCTTTCATTTCATTTTGTTGCCTAATTGCTCTGAGTAGAACCTTCAGTACATTGTCAAATAGAAGTGGTAATAGTGGACATCTTTTTATTCCAGATTTTAGATAGCTGTCAGTCTATCACCATTAATTGTAATGCATGCATTCATTCATTCTTTCATTCCACAGATTTTTATTGAGCAACTATTTTTTGCTGCCATTGTGGTATACACTCTGGATTGCTTAGTGCAGCGGTTCTCAACCTGTGGGTCGCGACCCCTTTGGGGGTTGAACGATCCTTTCACGGGGGTCGCCTAAGACCATCGGAAAACACATATATAATTACATATTGTTTTGTGATTAATCACTATGCTTTAATTATGTTCAATTTGTAACAATGAAATTGGGGGTCACCACAACATGAGGAACTGTATTAAAGGGTCGTGGCATTAGGAAGGTTGAGAACCACTGGCCTAGTGCTTATAGTCTGGTGGGGGTGAGGGTAGAGGAAGCACTTATCAAGAGGGGGCTGAAATACACACAAACAAATGAGTAAGGTGAATTTGAATGGCATGGCAATAAATATGGGGAAGAAAACAAAGCGGGGCAAGGAATCATGGCTCAGGAAGGTATCTCCAAGAAGGTGATATAAGCAATGGCCTGAATGAAGAGAGGAGTCAGCCATGGAAAGATCCTGGGAAACAGAGTTTAACACAGAGGGAGGGGCTATCAAAGTAAAGGCCCAGAGGCTGGAGAGAGAGAGCTCCTTCTACGAATGGGGAGAAGGCCACCATGGCTGAGTGAAGGAGGGATGCCAAGCAGGTAAGAGCCCAGAGAGGGATGCAGGGTCTCCCTGTACCTAATACTAGTACTGTCTGCTCATGATGGAAGATTAAAACTTGTTTCAGTTTTCATAGTAGTGTTACATTGAAGGCTACTATTTACTAAAGAATATTTCTAATGTTCCAAATTAATATATTTTAAGAAACCACAATAAAATGCCATGTGACATTCTCTGTATACATGTAATTCTGGTTAGAATTAAACATATTTTTAAAATAAGGAAATACATTAAAAAGTTTAAAATATAAAAGATTTAAAAAAGATA